GTTCTTTTTAAATTGGAACGAAAGTGAGATGTTTAAGAGGCACCAAAAAAATCCATGTGAATAAACAGGAAAGCTGAGTCAAAGAACTAATTATACCTGATGCTTGCTTTCTGCTGCTGTAAGGCAGACCTTGGAGTCCTTGATCTAATTGCCTTATGCTCCCGTTTTTAAGAGAAACTTCTTACATCACTTCATCTCTCTTTTGTTGATGGCTCCCAAGCCATGCCTTACAGCCCCACCACCTCTTCCCTAAGCCCCCGGTTTACACCGTCTGATCGCTATAGAATATTCCTACTCAATTTCCATGAGGTTAATGTTAAATGTATAATTTTATTTCTTCTTTTTAAATTGCTGCTGCTTCAAATTTCCTCATTTCGTAGTTGGTGTGGCTTTTTTAAAATTTCTTTGTTTTGTTTTTAAATCAGTAGTCATAAATTCCATTGTGTTACGCAAGCCTTTCCTTTGATTTTACTTATTCAATACTATTTACCAGGGGCCCTTTGAAAAATTCTCCCTTTCAGCTAAGTTGGGCCCTTTATGCTCTTTTCTGAATACTGATTCATTTTGTCTTCATGGTGCACCTGTGCTGTTTTCCATGCCTGCCACCAATATTTATGTCATCACTGCATAATGTACCCTATATTTTCTTCCGGTCTTCACTCTCCCACGATGCTCTACTTTACAATCAAAATCCATAAAAGCCTTTTATTTCTCTGATCTTATAAGGCTCATTTGGCATGAAGCTTCCAACTGACCCTTGGACTTCATATCATTCTTGTGTTTCTTAATCTGTTTATATTGCATAAGGAGATACTTATCAAGCAACTGTCCTGCTTCTGTTACCAGCTTCAGTGCTGCTGGGTTCCACACTGAAAATGTCCACAGAGCCTCTGGAGCTGCTTACAACATAGTACAAGACACTCGTAGTACAGAGATTACTGCAAACTAAATCAAGTAAAATAAGATGTGCAACTTTGACATCTCAACACTAGAAACAAGGGGGCGACCTGGATTGACTCTTCTGTATCTCAGTGCAAGGAACATAGAATGAGATACCTTACAGATGTACAGTGCTCACCAGACATACCACCACAACCACACCAGTAGCACTGATGGGCTGAATACATGCTGTCTCCCAGTGCTGACACACATTCTTATAATCCTCATAGGTAGGCATTGTGAACTATTTCACTGATGTAAAATCTGACTTTTAAAGAGGTTATGTGACAACATGCCTACACTGAGGCAACCAGTGCATGGCAGAGCCAGGATTTGTAGTAGATCAAACTGAGAAGCCTGTGCACTCTCCCCTACTCATTACTGCCCAATTACCAGCGGGTGGATACTTGTGCTATCACCTTAGATCATATGCATATATATGCACTAGTGCCGAAGATACGGGTATTTCTGAGGTTAAAAAAAAACACTCCTCAGATGTTTAAGGTTATCTGGCTTTATTTATACACATTTTCTGCATCTTCTGCTAAAAATGCCCCGACTCTATTGTTGTCTTGTCAATTGCAGATGTAATCTGCTTAAGCGATCTGAATAAAAAGCACTCTAGTTTGAAGAAAGGGTAACAGGATGGCTTCCAGTCTATAGAAAACTGGCTCTTACTAGATGTCCATCCCGGCTCTTGCTCACACGAGGGTCATTAAAAAGCATATCCTCTTTCCTGTGCACAGGATGTTGCCTGCAAGATTCCATTAGTGCTAATGGGTCATTTACTCTCTACCACCCCAAGGATCAAAAGGAGAAACTGCATCTTTGATGGAGTGCTGATGCTACGCGGGTCTCAGGCCACTTAAGGGTTTTCTTTGTTCTCTTGGTGTGGCAACCCAGCAGGGGACTTTAGACCACTATCTGCTCTATGAAGGGTTTATAAGGACAGTGTTAGGTGGTGGTGCTAAGTGCAGGTTCAGTAATGAAACTGAGAGTGATGCCCGTACGTACAACCCCAACCGTCTGTCTCCACCTTGGTGTGTCGGAGGCTTGTATCCTGCGTAGCTCGAATCAATATTTTCTGCTCTTTAATAACATAAGGGAAAACTTACTACTTTCCTTTAGTAAGCTTTAAAAGTTCAACCAGTAAGTTTGCTAACAGGAAGAAAGGATTGTGGCAGGAAGTGGGGAAAGGAGGTAAATGCATTTAGAATTAGCTCTCTCCCCATGTGTTGCCTTACCATTCTTTCTTCTTTTGTACTGTGACCTCAATCCCTCAGGTGGATGACAAATATCTGAGTGCCCACTGTGCAGGTATCCCAGTGGGAGAATCTAAAACAGACACAGTCTCTCTCCTCAAGGAGGTTATAATCACAAAAAAAAAAACCAACCAAGATTGGTTATCAAATATATAGTGTCTCATCCCTGACTCAGTACTAAGTTCTCTATCTGAACCAGTGCCAAGAATTCTTTATTCAACGACATTTATTAGGTCTGGAGGAAAGCTGAATTTTCCTAACAAATTTAGTTTCATAAATGAATGCAGGGAGCATTTCCTTGCCTTGGCATTTGAAATGTAACAGAATAAATCTCAGCCCACAATCTCAGATGTGCAAGAAATCCAACTTTATTTTTTCTGTAACTCACCTTGGTTTCTACTTTGAGCTCTGATTTGTTGAGTTAGGGAAAAATATAATCTCAGGCAATTTTAGTTCCCTTATTTCCCTGGGATCGTGTCTGAATTAATTGGTGTGGGGGACTTCCCAGTGTACCAGTTTGGGGGGAGGTAGAGAGAGATTGTGCAGGAGCTGATCGTGGATATTCTATATTTATAGCTCAGGTGCCCACTGAATTGCTAACCAGCACCTTCATTCTTGCAGGCATGACCCCTTCAGGTCAGTCATTTTCTGCTTATTTTTGTGCCGCTCAGGGAACTGTTCTGTTTCTCCCACACCGCAGTGGAATATGGGAAGTTCTGTGAGCCTGTCCAAACTCTCAGCTTGTCTAAACTTACAAAACAGCCATTTCTTCTCAAGGATCTCACTGTCGCTTCTGGGCTGTCTTGAGGAAATGCACAAAGATCAACATGACCCCATAAGCCTACCTGAGATTTTAACATCCCCTGCAGCTCAGCCCTCAAATTAGAGCACTGTGTCTTCTTTGGAGCATTTACCACTGACTATGTTCACATGTTTTCTCTCACTTTCTGTCCTGCTTACCCACAGGGGAGGCAGGGAAGCTTTGGTCTTATGTAACCGCCTGTACATTCTATCTATTTCACTCCTCTAAAATTCTTGGCTTTTAAGACTCAAATATAAGAAGATAATGTTATATATTTAGTGTATGATTCATATCCCTTTTCTGAGGCAACTAAAGCACAATGGCTTGAAATGTAAGAGAGGAAACTCTAAGGAGAAAAAGAAAATATGCAGAAAAAAATTAGGTATTTCAAAAATAGTATTCCATATTAGACCAAGAATATGCTATCTTTTAATATTTGTAGTTAATAGTCAGTAGGTGTTTTCTGTTATTTAAGAGGTGGTACTTACCTTCGGTACAAATTAGGTGGATTAATGAGATATCCTAATGTAATACTTAGAGCCTTAGGTCAGGGACCTAAGTTCTTAGTTGTTATGGTTACGTGACGTTCAGCAAGCTCAGTGTACTCATCAGTATAATTCAAGACTGTTATACCTGTGGATTGATTTTACTCTACCTACAAGCTAATAGGTTAGCTTATTACTGTATCATGGATGCTAGCAGAACACATGAGGTTTCTGGGTCAGAAACTAAGGACTTTATTGCTCACAACAAAATAAACAGCAAGAGCATCGGCAACCGTGTCAGTTCTCCTTGCTCCCAAGTCCATGAAGACAACACAAAGAGGTCTAGATAAACACTAAGAATGTAGGGAGTATGTGTTAAAATGTGGAAAAGGTATCAAGTGGCATGAAAGTTAGATAGAATCATTAATGTTAGAGAAAATTCAAGTGGCAATAAAAAGAGAAGCAGCCAAACAAAGTATGTTTAGCAGAATTTGTAATCAGGGGCAATATATTATGGAATTTGGGGCTCACCTTTCTTATGTTCTTCATGGATTAATTATTTAGTGGACTCTATTCCATTAATGACACATACTCAATGCCATTTAGATGTGGTGAATAATCTATGATAGGAAAGGAAACAGAATCAAACATGTATTGCAATTTATTTTTTAAAGTAGTGACATAAACTCAGAGGCATAAAGATGACAAAGGTGTTCCCTTAGAAACTGCAATAAAATTGGGGAAAATTAATTGATAATGGAGTGCAACATAAAGAATTCAAAGTGGTATAACTATCTAAAGAAGAAATACCAAAAGAGGACACAATATTCAGGTATATCCAAACTATTGTGGGAGTGAGTTCGTGAATAAGATAGATATGAGCAAAGATAATGGGCTTAGCCATAATAAAAAAGTAATTTTAGACCCCAGAGAGAATTGGTTGAACTTCTAACTAAATGAAAGACCCAGACTTGTCTAAGTAGAAGGTAGATTTAATGACAACTATTGAATGTCTACTACATATTTTATTATAAAATATCATATTTATTTTAATATATTTTACATTTTAAAATATAGGAAATTTTCTATATTTTATCTAATTTCTAATATAACCCTATGGAATAGGTTTTATTCTTCCTATTTTGGAAATGAGGCTACTGATGATCAGAGAAACAGAAGGGAAAAAAAAACATCATCAAAGCCACAGATTTGGAAATATCCAGGCTCAGGCTTGGATTTCACTATAGGAATGTGCAACTTCATGGTCCATGTTCCTTCTACTTGGCCACACCGTATGGAACTCATTCTCTGTGGGAATAGCTTCTAGGAATTTCTTCTAGTGTTCATGGATTCTTCAAACACTTTTATTATTGTTTTGTAGTTTTAGGAAAATATGTAGTTATAGATTTAGTTTTTTAATTAATTTAATGAAAATGAAACCTCACTATTTTTTCCCTGTCCTACGGTATGTTTGAAGTTACTTTTGTGATCAAAACTTTGATCTTCCCACAGGTGACTTGTATATAGGAGGAGTGGCAAAAGAAACATACAAATCCTTGCCGAAACTCGTCCATGCCAAGGAGGGCTTTCAAGGCTGCCTGGCTTCAGTTGATTTAAATGGACGGCTTCCAGACCTCATCTCAGATGCCCTTTTCTGCAATGGACAGATTGAAAGAGGATGTGAAGGTACTAGATTTTGATATCACACTCTAAGAATTCCAGTTCCACCTCTAAATAAGAACAGCTGTCTCTAGCCAGCAAAACTCATTTCTGCCAACTGGTCAAACCCCACATAGGACTTAGAAATCCTCATTCACTTTCTTAACTTTTCATCTCATAAATCTTAAACTTTCTGGACTGTTTGCAAACCTACACTGATGCATGAGGTCAAGCAGGAACTGTATCCATGGTCCTTGTTATTTTCTGCTTCTTTGCAATCTCTAGTTTGCATAATTAGTGTGTTAATCAGTTCTGCAATGCCTGCTTTATAACGTTAAATAGACAGCTTATTTAGACTAGAAAAATATATTTATTCCAGCAAGTGTTAATCAGTTTGAGCCTGTTTTTTGAAATATACATTCAATAGTATAAAACAAGAGAATAAAATGTAGATACTACTGTCAAATTACTATTTGGTTTATATCTACCCAGTAGCACTGTATATATATTATCAGTTTGTTTTAGCAAAAATTGGTTTCTTCTATTACTCAAGGCTAATATTCCATACTTCAGAAATGTGCTCAAGTATCTTCCTGTTCTTTTGTGCTTTCTGTCAGACTAAGATCTGTAGGAGTACTTTTTGATTGCTACTTCCATTTTAGATAATTTTCACTTCAACACCTCAGATTATTTGAGCCAATTCTCCCTCCATAAATGTAATTTAATCACATTATCCTGAATTTTGTGGCTCTGAACGTGTTGCTGCTTCTCCTTTAATGTTGAACACAGTTGGGGCCATTTTGAAAAGTTTAGATTTATAAGGAAATTGCATATAGGAGAAGCAAAGAAAGACATGTAAATTCCTACCCCCCCAGGGGACTATCAATTATTTCCTTTTAGCCAAAATAATGCCATTAGATTTAGCAATTACCTGAGTACATGGAAACTTTTTTTATTTGAAAATGTAGTTTTTCTCTCTGCAACATACATTACCTTGAGAAGTCAGGTGAAATTCAAATTATGTTTTAATCCTGCCAGAGGCTATTCAATGGACATCTCTGTCAAATTCATTTTAATGTCATCATCCCATTTGTTTTATTTCACATTTTGGTATAACACACTTTTGTAAACAGAGGGAAAATGTGTTTTCTCCTATTATAAATTTAGCAAAGGAAACAATTGTTAAGTTAATAAATTCCCTCTAGTAGACAGATATAAGGATGTGATTCTTGGAGGTGCCTTAATTTGTGAGAATATGTACATTTAAAAAATGTACTATAGACCCTTCCATAGGTTGCTTGGTAGATGACTACTCACCTATAAACAATAGTGGAAGGAGACAGACACATTCACAACTAAACACACACAAGATAGAAAACCATACACATACATGTGATCCCCCACCATTGGCACGGGATGTGAGTGGGTGGGTGGAAGGGAAAACTAACGAGAGGATGCGTGGGAAAAGAGTATTAGCGGAAATGATATTTGGTGTTATTTCCCAACATAAGCTAATGAGCAATTTAGTCAAGATGACTGCTTTTACACACTCTTGGAAAATCTTAAACCTCTATTTGAACATTTGAAATCATTCAATAAATTAAGACATTGGTTCCTTCCTTACCTTATCTAGGATGCTTTAATATCCGAGTTTTAATAATGCTCACCCTCTTTTACCACCATTTTTTCTTAGAATATTACCAAGTTTGTGCCTTTCTGCATTTACACTTTCTTCGTCTTTTAATTCCAACATCACTACTAACATTTAATTTCTGGTTATTTCTATCCTTTGTGGTTTCTAGAAATAAACTCAGATATACCTGTCATATAATTATGAGATGCACATATTTTTAGGATTAGTGGTCATATTCTAAATACTTAATACATTCTCTCTCTAAATATTACTTTGAGAATTTTGAGTCCAAATCACATTGGAATCACTAAATGTTCACATTAATAGAAATAGTTTAAATTTGACATCACCAAATATATCTTGTCAGTGTTTTCCATTATTCCTACTGCCAAAGATTTACAAATTTCTAAGCCCTTTTCATTTAAAAAGTTCTTGGTCTTCCCTAAATATTTACTTGCTTTCTTTCATTTGTAACTGGTTTTGATTGGTAATGGCTCATTTTATTTATACAACACATCAGCTGGGGGAGGAAGCTGACAAATCTCTATGGATGTTTCTCAAACTTTAGCCAGTGTCTGAAATGCTCATAGAATTGTTAAAACTTAATTATTGGACACCCTCCTCGGGGAGTCTGACTTGGTAGACCTAGGTCAGAGCTCTGGAATTTACATTTATACCCAGTTGCTGAGTGAAGCTGATGCTGTTGTTCCAAGGACTACACTTTGAAAACTATTGATTGAGATGGCACTTTCCTGCTCACATATGAGGAAAGGAAGACTAGAAATCCACCAGTAATCAGGCTTTAGTTGAACTCATTGCCGAGTCAGGTTAACTTCCATTCATGAAGTTGGTGGAAAAAAATGACTTGATTCCAACATTCTTTGCATAGATTCATAACATTCAGCCTCAAACTACATTTTAAGTGACAAAAATACTTAATTATGAAAGCTACCATTGATTAAGCATTGGTGACATTAAGTTTACATATGCTATTTTATTGAATCCTCAAAACTCTGTAAATTAGGTATCACAGACTTTTGTTAGATAAGTAGGCTGAGCCTCAGAGATGTGAAGTGACCTTCTTAGGGTCACACAGCTACTAAGTGGATGATGGAAGCTTTGAACCCCAGTGTGTCTTATGCAAAAGCCCAGGCATCTAACCATGTTTTGCTATTGTCTCTTTGGTTTCCAGAGATTATAGTTTTACCTTCACTTTTCTTTCCTTTTCAGATATATGCTTATTTTTAACCACTTAATACAAATGTCCTTGTGGCTTGTTTCCAATTTTATTCTGTGATAAAAATAAAAGGGACATTATATAACTAAAGGGAAAAATAAATTCTGGGCTTTGTCTCGTGCAAATGCCTGCCAATGTTTAATATTGTTCCACAAAGTGTGTACCTTGAAAAATGTGTCTTGTCAGGCATAGGCATGCATTCTGTTGTAGTACCTGAACATGAAAAGACTGTTGTGATAATGAAAAAAATAGTAACGAAGCATGTCTTTATGTTCACATAATGGTTGGCAGGTGCCCCGAGTTGCCTTTCCCACAATATGGAAAGATTACGTATTAGGGTTGTAGTTTTATCATTTTTTGAGATTAGCATTATTTTGCCATTGTATTCCTGATAATTTTTGCAAAAATAAAAATCTGGTTCTTCACCAGTTTTTGCTCCTGCTCTTTTCTTCTGCTGGGCAAGTAAGGGAGCAGCTCTGTGCTGATAAAACAACCCTTGACCCAAACTCGGCTCACACCACTCCTTGATCCCATGCTTATCCCAGGAAGGAATTTGCTAAGGAATATTGCTTTAAGAGGCTCTTCATCGTCATCATCATCATCATCTTCTTCTTTCCTTACCCCTCATCTTCCTCCTCCTTGTTCTTCTTTTTAACATACACTAATTATTTTTGGTTACTAATGCCAGGGGATAAAGATCATTAGAACACTTACCTCTCACAGACTGGAAGAGCAATGAAGAATAGTCAGTGGTTCTTAGTTATTTGATGCAATCAGTAGGTGAGACAGACTCTTACATCTGTTTAGGCCTGGGAGATTATTATTAACAGTTGTCAATAATAACTATTATTACTACTATACCAATCACTACTATATAGTTAGTATTGGCACTATTATGGTTTTTAAACTTGTGAAAATTCACATAGGTTAGGCTAAATCCAGTAACTTTATATGAGTATCTTTACTAAGAAAATTGTGATAAAAATAAGAGTTACGGGGCATGTTTAAACAGACATTTTACAAAAACATTAATTTTTACAAAGGCTAATTTTAGATAAATCTCATTTATTCACCAAAGTATTTACCCCAAAGGGTCTGACTGTCAATAGCATCTGATTAGGCTGATGTCTATTTTGGTATTTGCATAAAACCTATAATTGTATTTACTACAAAACATTTTTAATTTTTACTCTAAATCTGTTTAGGCTGGACAGCATTTCATTTTTACCTTACCCTAAGTTAGTCTTTATTAGTGATATTCTACTGTGGTAAATATGCACAAGGCAGTTTACAAGAGTTAAAGACAATTACAAAGGTAAAGAAAATGCAGACCTAACTCTGAAATCCTTAAGCCATAAACACCCGACTTGGTAAGAGCAAAGATAAGAATTTCACATTATAATTTTGTAAAGATTTGTTTCTTCCACCCTTTATTTTCTCATTTACTTTAAATATATATATTTTGATAGTTTGGTGTCACTCGAAGGTTCAGCTGTTGGCATGAATGGCTGACATTACGAGTTTTTAAGTTGTAATTGCAAGCAAGATACAAAAGATCCAGAGGGAAAACCCTGGAAAGAGATAATTGCCCTGCTAATGACCACAGTGTTCACTGTATGTCTACATGACAAATAGTGTGCCGGGTTCCAAGTAAGCCATGCTGTCACTTTGGTAATGCACTCGTATCTATCCAAGAGAGGAAAAACTACAGAAGCCCTTTTAACTTTCCTTCATTACATGCCATCAGCTCAGTTAACCATTTTATATATATAGATATCCTCATGTATTGTAGAATTCTAATAAATCGCTGCTTTCTCATTTTTGGCTTAAAATTTATGGCTGTTGGTATTAATTTATTTGCTTTACATAGCATTTCTTTCCCCCTTTATAGCAGCATGCTTTTTGAATCTGAACGTTCTTCTGTGTTTGCCCCATTTCAGTATTGCTTACTAACATTTAATATATTTTGCTTTTTTTTTTAATTTTGCTGACAAAGTTGCATTGATGAAAGCTGACTTGCAAGGTAGATAGCCCTGTGTGTATAAAACAAGACTGAAACCCCACATTGCACAGTGGAAACCTCAAAATAGCAGTTTTTACATTTTTGCAGTAACTGTTGTTTGGATTCAGATTTAATGTTTCCCCCTTTTTGAACATTGTGCAAGAAACCTCATTTTGTAGCATAGATTGCACAAAGGCTTTCAGTCTTGAATATGTTCGTTTAGTGGTTACCTTCAGTGCTTTGGTCATCCTTTTTTGGTTGTTTTTCAGTGTTCTAGTTATGATTCTTTAGAAATAGAATAGCGTTCCTTTTACTTGTATGTTCAAATGGGGCATGTCATTTTTACAGAGTTATTTATTTTATGTGTAATTGCATGAAATTGTCAAAGCATGTGAATTGATACTTGCCAACATACCTATCCAAAAACACCCAACAATCATAACTGTATCCGTAGTTTGTGCAGGGTAACTTCTGGAACGCCCAGGACACTTTTGCGTACCTCTCTTCAGTTAGTTTTGCCAATCTCGTCTCAATTTCATGAAGTTATAATCTCCGTTTCTCATGGTGTCTCTTATCCATTGGTCGGAAGTTAAGGAGATCCATGCATTTTTCTAAAATTCAAATGGTGATAGAGCATTATTGACAATTGAATGAGATTCCGTGCTACCATGACCATACTAGAAGCTATGTGCTTGCTTTTACTAGTTGTTGGTTTAGTTTCCTATTATACTGTATTTTTTCCCTATATTTTAAACCTCTGAAAACCTTCATACGATGGCTTCTCTATTTCTAATTTAGGTGTGGGAACTAGAACTTTCATTAGTTTGGTCATGTAATGTGTGGTGTTGGCAACTACTATATGTGACCTAGCTCATGCATAATACACTTCTGGATTTTTTATAAGAATCCAAGTTTCTTTGGGATTTTTTTCGGCAGGGCCCAGCACAACCTGCCAGGAGGACTCGTGTTCCAACCAAGGTGTGTGCCTGCAGCAGTGGGACGGCTTCAGCTGTGACTGCAGCATGACTTCTTTCAGCGGGCCTCTCTGCAATGACCGTAAGTGCCTCTCTGAGCTCGACCGATGCTCGTCTTTGTCGCGGTTACTGTTTGATATCCAGGGTCTAAACACTGGGACTCTTCGTATTACCAGTGAGTAAGTTACACTGTCAGAAGCAGGAGAAGCCGTTGTTTCTACCCAAAGGACAATTTTAGATACCGAGGTATTAATCAGGGATGCTGTTCGCTAAATGTTAGGATAATGGTGGCGAATTCTTTGGTTTTCAACTGTTGCAATTTTGAAAGACTACATATTGCTTTATGTAAAGAAATATTTAATTGTATAGGATGACATCTCGAGGGCTGTAGTTTCAGTAAATGGTCACAGGTCTCATTACGTTTTTTCTCTCTCTCTACATTTCTTCAAGCCCGTATCTGCCTTTCACTTTAAAAATATGTCTAAACATTGTCCTTGCAGTGCCCTCCCCCTTATATTTCAGCCACTTGTGGGTGTTTTCCCCCATTTGGTCTCACAGTACAAGCAGGACAGAGAAACAGTGTACAGTGTTCACCTTACATCACGAAGTGCCTGCCAGGGCCTTATCTGTGTGATTGCAGTGAGGGTTCTGAGGCTGAATTAACCGGTGCATCCGATGACGTTCCATTTCTCAACTTTCAAATAGACCATGATTTACAGCATTTCTTCAAAATGATAAAGGCATTTCCTACAAAACACCGCATTCCTCAATATAGAGAAAATATTTCTGGCAAAGCTTCCTGGCTGTAAAATAGGGTATACGCTTTATGTTTTTAATGCTATAGCATTTAAGGAAAGCTCTTAGGCGATGGGGTAGGTGATGTGATGATTGAAGGTTTGGGCTTCCACGCAAAGACTCGGCTTCAGTGTGGATTTAAAGAGGGACTATAGTTTGTTCGTTTTGACCTTTTCCTGTTTGAGACTCTGTTCATGTCAGTAGATATGTGTATCACAATGTTGAAGATGGGGGTCAAATTATAACACTTCATTGAACTGAATTGTTGCCTTAGCAATGTAGTACAGTTCACCATCTACAAATTTCCTCTCCAAGATACTGAATACAGGGATAACCGACAACTAATGCAAAGTAAAATAGTGCTTGGAAGACACTTGTAAAGATCATACCACCATAGATGGAGAAATAGTTTCTATTCTACCTACCAGTGACGTCTTCCATAGAATTACAAGTAAACTTGAAGCAATTAACATGTGTTCAGGCTATCACACATTTGCAAACACTGTGTTTCTACAAATCAAATCACGCAAACAATTTCACTGGGCTTATATGAGTTACTTTACATAAGATTCAGTAAATGCTTATATGTACATAAAGCAAAGTAAGTAACTTGTAGATGCTTTTAATATAGTCAGATATGTGTGCAGACAGAATAGTAACTTCCTGCGTTTGTTCCTGCCCCACAGAAAATAGCACTTATTTTCAAGGACAACCAGGAAGACTGATAATTTGTTAGGATTTTATTATGGCACATTTTTAGTCTTCAGTTCAATCATGACAGATATATGACTACATGTGGTAGCTGAGAGAGCTTTCTTTTGCATGAAAATATTTTTCATCTTGCTGAAGAACTTTCTCTGCCAAACTTTACTTAATCCAGTCTCTGTGTTTTACAGAACAGTTGCCATTTGGTTGTGTCAGATTGTGTATCCTTATATACCGGATAAGTATGGAGAATATAATTTTCTGTGTATATTTGCTAGACATTTCCTAAAGGAACATCAAGATACTACTTTAAGTATCATGCTGTCTTCAAATCATTTTTTACAGAAAATTATTTGAATGCTGCTCTTGGGTGATGGTAGTGGTGGTGACAATGATAAGGCTATTTGTTATTTTCTTGTAAATAAGGTAAATGCCATCCAATAAATGTGTCTCCTGATATGCCTCATGCACAAATCAGCATTAAAATTACTTTGGAGGACTCTCAGAATACATGCATTTTGATTAAATCATTACCTCTTAGTGGGTTTTCTGGAAATGGGAAATAGTTTCTTGGTTTGTACATTGTAGTTTTGGTGGTGAGGATATGGAGGCACAAATACATATTTAATAGCAAATCTTACTGTAATGTGAACTATAATTTGTAGGAGGTACAAAAGTAACTATTACCTTGAGGACATGCAATTGCTATGACAGTAAAAGTAGCAGGCCCCATTTTCCTCACTTTTTAAATTGATCCAAATAAACCCTGTTTCCATACCTCACTGTTTCCCTATAAGTTGCACAAAGAGAATTAGTGTGATTCCTGAGATTTTTAACAAACTCCTTTTCGGTGGGGAGGTTGATTTTTCTTTTTTCTTTTCTTTTTTTTTTACAAATGAAGGCATTAGGATATTGTATTTCTTAATAAAATTTTATTTTCAAATGAGATATTTATTCATAAATTCTGTGACTGCGACCTTCAACAGCACAGAAAATAAAAAAATAAGACTTCTTACATGGGGAAGGACTACTACATTGAGAAAGATCCACCTCCGAGCTCCCCTAGACCTTCTAAACCTTATCTAGACCCTCTGATAACTTTCCTGGAGTGGGTAAGGGTAACTAGAAACTTGTATTTCTGTTAGCCTAGAGATATGATTAACAATGGCAGGATGGGAGTACTTTTTAGCTTGTAAGTGTAATCTTGGATAAATCATACTCATTAATGAACTTAAAGGGGCCTTTCAGAAAAGAAGCACTTAGGCAAAATGATGTCAGTCTTCTTCTCAGGACAAGTGTTTGTGAAACCCTTTCCCTCCCCCCACAAAACTGCCATCTAAGTGACCTACTCATGGACAAAAACAGTCGCAGTGTGTGTGAGTGTGCGCATGCGGGAGTGTGATGTACTCGGCTCCTCAGTTCTTCTATGTCAACACCATATTTAAAACCCCAATGTTATTTTTCTGAGTATTGTAGTAATCTCCAGTTTGAGTTTTTACTGCGTATTTCTTTGTTCTCCAGTTCATCAGTTTTCTTCTGCACCAATTTTCTTCTTCCATCCTGTTCTCCTTAGTTTAAATACCACCAGCCCTTTCTGATTCTCCCAACCAAGGCGATATTTTTCCTCCTCTGACTTCTGTAAAGTTTTAATGCTATTTTATCATCCAGCACTTTATACCTTGTAGCTGCTTATGCTTGGTCTTATCTCCCTGTGGGATTATAAGCTTCTCCCAGGGAAAATAGCCCTTTATGTTTTAAGCCCAGTGTTTTGCATATCATGTTGCATGTAATTGCTGATAATAGCAACTCACTAAATCAATGTAACTAGGTGAGTGGAGCTTGTATAAGGATTTATAGTACATCTCAGTGGCCTACAATACTGTGAGTTCATCAGCTAGGAGTTCATGAACCTCCACAGTCTGACCCTGGCTCTCATTTTCATGCTTAGCCTATTGCAGAACCTTGTTCACGTGGCACATTACCGTGAGTTATCTTCCTTAAGGCTTTCTGAACTACATTACACTTTCCCGCTTTCCTGACCATCGCCTATGTTAATTTTGCCTCTTGGGGGATGCACTCATTCCACTCGCAATACATTCCTTTTGCTATATCTGCTTGAAGAAGTTTATTTTTGCTTTTAGCCTCTACTTAAACTTTGTCATCCCATGGAAACTTCCCTGGTCTTCTGAGCCGAGTCTTGCTTTTCCTTCTTCTAAAATCTTAAAGCAACAGTTTTTGTACATTCCACATTTCACAGCTATTTGCAGACTTTCTCTTGGAGGTAATCATGTATTGATTGCTGGCTGTGTGCTGCGTCTCTGAGTTTACATTCACTATACAAAATCTACCTGTTGCCTCTACATACTTGTACCCGTGCACACGATCCTCAAACCATTAGGCTACCATAATCCTTTTCTGCTTTTATCCATTGATCCAGAAAAGAATGTAACGATATTAGTGAATTTAATGTCAGGTTGAGGAAGATGAATATGGCTATGATCACATGGAAAATAGCGAACATAATAACATTGTCACGTTACATTAGTATAGAAATGTTGTGTGCCAAATTACGGTTCAGCTTCAATGATGTCTGTTACCATAAGGGAATAATACATCATAGTGCTGTTATTTGGGTATTAGGAGGGTGTGGGCACTGCTGTCAAAAAACTGTTTTCAGAATTCAGAACTTTGCCAAAAAATCTTTCTGATGAGAATAGATTATATCTTTTATATGAGAATTAGAAATATTCACTGGAACAAAAATGAAATATATTTGACTGTGACTTGTTACCATGACATTAAAACTATCTACAGCTTTGTTTCTCACCTTTTTTTTGTTATTTGAAACAGAATCCTATTTCATCTCTAGTATCTGAACATCAATATCACAACTACTGGAAACAATGAGAACATATACAAAAATACTTGGGGTCAAAGTAACATTATTTCTCTCCCATTTGGAACTGCCAGGAGTATTAAGCTTTGAGCTGATTTGCTGCTGATGCCATTTAGGGTTAAATAAAATTCAGCAATTATCCTGGATGCCTCAGTGGACTGAGCACTGGCCTGCGAACCAAAAGGTCACAGGTTCAATTCCCAGTCAGGGGCACAGTGCCTGGGTCGAGGACCAGATTGGGTCCCCAGTAGGGGGTGAGGGAGAGGCAACCACACTCCCTGGTATTTCTCCCTCTCTTTCTTTCTCCCTTCCCCTCCATCTAAAATAAATAAATAAAGTCTTTAAAAAATAAAATAAAATTTAGCAATTAACTATATCCACAACCAGATCCTCATTGTGAGTATGACGACTCTTGTTAACCCCGAATATTTTAGCAGTTCTAAATGGCAGCTCTGAAGTTGTTTAAAGCAATTAATATGCAATATTTACTGGTAATGCCTTAGAAAAACTATCTATGGGGCCGCTGCATCAGACCTGGCACATGTTAAACCATAAAGGATTAAAGCGACGATTCATGCGGAGTGAAAAAGTGCAGTAGAAGACAAAGAACAGCATTAGTATGATAGAGGAATGTACTATGTGATAAAAGTGCTTTCTTCCATTTTATATAAATTTGTTTCTCTTGT